TAATAGGGAAAGCTACGTGATTGAGAAGCAAGTCTGCTTAAAGATGACTCGTGGTCTCGACAGAAGAATCATTTAGTTAGACCAGCCGTGGTATGAAGAAGCGTGAACCGTGTCTTTTTTCTCACTGTGCAAAAGAAATGTTTTCGCGCGTTTACTAAGAGATATGAGCAAGTTATTATCATAATCCTCGAGGAAGGCGACGTTTCTCGTGGTGATTGTCAGACTAACGTAAAGACGCTCAGACTTCGAAACCAAGTCGCGCAACGCTTTTCAAAATTTTCCGAATTGTGCGAAAATGACTAATGGAGAAAACTCGGACTTTTCCCGGAAAAAATGCCTTGAAAATTCGACTGTACTTAGAAAGTAAATTAATCTGATAAGAATCATCGTCAGTTTTGATGCCAGGCATATTTCTTGTTGTCTCAACTGTTGTTATTTTAGCAATAACGTGCATCAGGTTACTATTACTAACACTACAGGATTATTTACTACAAAAAAAAAAGGTTTTCTCTTCATATAATCATTTCACTATGCAATTATAGTCACAAATGCTAAACATTTTTTCTCAATGCAATTAACGTTTACTGCCAGAATAAATTGTCTTTTTTTATCGTTATTATTCTCGTTATAATCAGCAATTAATAGGCCGCCTTGGTAGAAAGGATTTGCCCTCGACGCGAGGAATTTTCGCTAATGAAATAATCCAATGTCGGCAGAAGATAGAAAGAAAGAAAGAAAGAGAGAGAATGAGATGGAGAGAGGGAGAGGAAAAGCCGAGCTTCGTGCGTCTTAATTGGCTTCTCGTGGCGTTCACGTTCGACGATGTTTTCGCAGTTGCGAACCCTTCCGCGCCGCGGATCTAATTAACGAATTGCATTAGTGCATTGGGGAAACCAGGGGGGCGGAAGCAAGCCAAACATTATATTCCGGGGCCGGGAACACGCGCGCCCGCGCGAATGGAAAGTGTAAGCAAGCCGGCAAGGCCGAAGGGCGGAAAAGCGGTAGAGAGACCGGTGCTAGGTGGAGGGCAAGGCGAAAGAGGGAGGAAAGCTCGGGCTCCTGGCGCGGTTCAGGTTAAGGCTCGACATTATTTATTTAGGCTCGCAATCCGCCCCGGCATCGCTCGTAATTTCCTCGCTCGTCCGGTTGCGCTCGTCGAGCGCGAAGACAAGGACGGACGGCGTCTTTCCGCGCCGTTGTTGCCTGCCACGAAAACCCTGTCCGTCCGTGTTTTTTCAGCTCCCATGTCGCGACCGCGTGTGGTCTGACGACTGCGAACCGTCTCTACCGACGTGAACGAAACAGAAATACGTCTGCTCCTCGGTTAGTCCATCTTTCGTTAAGCCTTTAAACAATCAATCGCCGCATTCTGGCTTCGATTCGCTCGAGATATTTCACGCGAGGCCATCGTTGGAATTTACGTCATCTGCATCAGCTGAGGCATTCATATCTAACTTTAAGACCCATATTAATAATCGTCACTTCTTTCAAGTGAGATACTCAAATCTGAGTTCAGAGTTAGATGAGAGTTTTTCAGTTGAATCGCGATTGTAAATATGATGTTACGTGTATCATATAATTCGACTGAAAAACTTGGATTTAATTCTGAGTGAAAATCTGAGTATCTCACGCGAGACAAAACAGACAACTTCAAGTAACGACTACGGGTCTAAATTCAAATCTGAGTATCTCACCTGAGACAAGTTTCAAGTAATGACTGTTAACACGGCTCTAAATTCAGCGTGAAACAAGTTTGAAGTAACGACCAATGATATGGTCTTTTATACATTTATGTCCGCGCGTGTTACGGCCGTGCTTGCGTCTACTTTAACCGTGGGCATTCCATTCGCTCTCGACAGTTATCTCAAAGAGGATACGGCCGTATCGCGTAGAAAGCGTTAAGTGCCTTAGCGCGAATTCGGGACGAAATGGGATCAAAAGTACACTGGGAGGCTGCGTAGATCGATCGATCGTAGGGCCGGTCGGTCGGTAGAGTGCCCTAGATTTTCCCTTGTTTTCGGAGACGTTCGCGAATAGCCCGTCCCCGTATAGCGGTCGTAAGTTAGGGGCGCCTTGTATAACTACCCGCTACGCCCCTGCCGTTGCGCATAAAATATTTCGACGCTTTAATGGCTAATAGCTTTTAATGGAACCTCTCTCGAGCATGTATTTCGTGACTGCGGAAGCCCCGATAGGGATTCGGAGACTGCGGTCAAAGGAGAGACGGAAGCGTATCATCGGACCCGCCTCGACCTCTTTACGGCTCGTGGCGGCTGCTCCGTCGACGAGACTGAGGGATCACGAGGTTACCCGTGCCTCGGACGCAATGTTGCTCGGTGGTCTGATGTAGTTCAGGAAATTGGAGAAGATCGATCGCTCGTCGTTAACACTTTGTTACGTTCTCTCTCGCGACAGGCGGGTTATTCGCAAGGAGATTTCCTGTCGTCAGCTCTGACAAGGGAGTTTCTTTAAACAAACCCACAAATTCTTAAAAAAAGTAAATTCTTCGCAGAAAGGTCAAATTGATATCTGTTTTTCGTTTTAGCTGGAAAATAGTTCCAAGGATGAAAGAATCCTTTCAAGGAAAAAAATTATTCTTGACACTGAGAGAAAAATATCTGAAAAATAAAAAAATATTTATTCGTGAATACTGATGCAATATTTGCTTAAATCCAAATTCGCACGTAGAATAAACAATTGCTTTCGTGAAAAACAACGAAAAATATTTTGTAGTAAAATATAATTTTTCATTTGAAAGAAATTTATCAATATAAAATACGTACATTAGTACAATATGTTTTAGCACCCGTCGAATAAATATTTCTAATTTTTCCTTAAATAGATATTCCTTCTCTCACACACGGTGTATTTTTCTTCCTTGCGAGGTTTCAGATCCTCTAGAATTTGCGAGTTGACAGGCCTGCCTTGCGAATTAACGATTCGCCGCGTTCTCGGAATTACAGTTACTCGCGTAGATAAAGATGGGAAGGAAGCGTAATTAATACAAACCAACGCGCTAAATCGCGAGAGCGCTGCCAGGCCGAGTACTATCGCTATCTCGAAAGACACGGGCGATCACTAAATAAAGTAAATTAAGCATGCAACTACCGTTGCCGTGCCGCATATCTGAGTGTTAACGCGGGAGGGAGGCGCGCCTCGTGGGAAACGCGCGAGATCGCAGCCTGACGTTTGACCTGGCGCGGCGGCAGCCAGCAGCAGCAACGGCAGCATCAACGGCAGCGAGCTTTCCAACCGCGCGCGCGAGAGTCGCTGTGAAGTCGATTTATCTCGGCCTCGCGTTACGCGTCCGATCCTGACGAGTAATTGAATATGCAAGTAAACCGGCGGACGTTCAATGCATTCCTCAATTCCGCCGACGCCGCCGCCGATGAGCGAAAAAAAAAATTGAAAGTGGGTCTTCCGTATCGGATCGGCGGATTAAATCGCTGAATTAGCATTTCTTAATTAAGACCGACAGGGTTTACGGCTCGGCCGTAACGAGCGGCACCTAACGAGCGACTCACCTCGCCGGGTGCACCGACTGCATTCACGAAACCGTGAGTGCCGCCTGGCTTCGTAAAAACGCGAGAGCCGCGAGGTCACGTATCGCCGAATACGGTTTCCGGAAAGATGATCTCGCTCTCTCGTTTAGCTCTCTCTTTATTCCCTTCCCTCTTTTCCTTCTTCTCTCACTCTCTCTTTCTCGCGCGCGCGGACGGTCATCGGTATATTAACCCTTTGCGCCCGTCACCGTTGTCGGCGGAGTGTACGGCGAGGTAATGACAGGGGAGGTCACCGTGGTGTCATGACGGTTTATGTGCGCGCCGCAATATCGGATTTCTTCATTCGCACTGTCGCTGAGCGGGTCGGTTGAGCGGAGATTTTTCGATAAAGAATTCGCAATTAATCTCTCACATCAACTGACAGTGAAACAATTTAATTTGCTCGCAAAGAAAGATCTCTATCTGCACGGAAAAAGATTCGCCGTCCCGATTGAGGGAAACTGCACCGACTCTGCGAATTTATAGTCATGAAACACGAATAACTAATTCTTCATAGTGTTAGTTCATAGTCATATTTTTTTGTTGATAGCAACGAAACAATATGCGTTACTTTGCATTTTCTGCCACACTAAAAAAAAAATTTCATTGTCGCGCGGAAAAATGTTTCATTCGAAACATTTGATATTTCATTGTCGCGCGGAAAAAAAGAATAGTTGTGTCGAAAAATAGTAAAATATAGGAAGCTTCTTGGTTTCAAGAATCAATTTTTTATTGTGCTGACTTATTGATTCGTTGCCTCAAAAATGCATTTCTTTTCAGACAACGAATTGCAGTGTTAATGCATGATATCATATAAGTCAATGTCCAAGAACTGGTTACTGAAGCCAGAAATAAAAGCTATGGCATATTTTACTATTTTCTGGTTGACACAATTATTCTTTTTTTTTGTGCGGACAATAATTTGGTTGAAACGGGATTAATCGAATGTCTGTGTAATTACGAGCAAAACATGATCAACGACTTGACGAATTTGTGCAAACCTCTACTAAATATATCACTGATGATAACGGAGATTTCTCATCAAATAATGCTCCTCCATTCTTTAGTGACAATCTTTCCGGCAATAATTCAATTATCGCTGGTATATTTAACGATCCGGCATGATGTACGCTAAGTAAGGTCCTTGTAAATTCCGACCGGCCGACGAATTCCCCGAGACCACCGCGATCTGACTCAGACAATCATGAAATATCGTTGCGACAGGAATTTGTCTTGGAGCAGAGCTTGGTATTCGGGGTAACCCCCGGCCGGTAGGTCGGAGACAAATCACCGGCAATAACGCCGATGGCCGCCAACGACATTATTTTAGTATTTCTGATTCGGCCGACGGGCCAAATCGTCGTCGTCGTCGTCGACGACGACGACGAGGGGGGCGCCGGCCCCTTTCGCCAACGCCAGCGAAATCATATAATAATCAATATGAAATTTCAGACTCACCCTCTCCCTATATTCTCCTTCATCTAATAAATTAATTCGTCGATCGGTTATTCGGCCCCATCACGTCACTTCTCGTATCGACGAGTATCAGGCAAAAGCCGAGTAGACTGACACGGCGATTCGGAAACGGACGTGCAAAATAAAAGAAGCTCTGGAATCAAATTTACAGAACGCAATAAGATAACTAACTCAGTTATATTGTAACATAGCATGCTGCCCGTAGTCCCACTTCGATGCCTTCTCATACATCGATAGACCGATAGTGGCTGAAAACTTTCGACCAGCCACATCCGTTTATAGCTACGCGCTTCTCATCGCTGTTAATTAATCCCGACAACACGTTCTCGCTGTCTGGGTTAATCAACAGTCATGAGAAATGCATGCCTAGAAAAACGGCTAGCCAGAAAATTTAGTAACTATCGATCTAGCCATGGCAAGACATCGGAGAGAGATAGGATGTACATCTCTTGCTAACAGATTGATGCTACCGCTCGAGATTTAGCGCCACATATATATCTTCCTTTTTTCCTTTAATTAACATTCAATTTCTAATTCCCGACTAATAAATCCGATCTACAGTAAGATAACGGTAATAACAAGCGTAAGAAACGTTGACTCGTCGCACCGATCACATATTACCAGAAATGAGAAGATTACTCACTAATGACTTCCCGACGATACGTCCCAACAGTCGTACATCACTATTTTTCGTCCCCGATATTTATTTCCATATGTGACTCATTTTCGATACATAAAACATACGCAAAAGCGGAGCGATATCGAAGTGTTGGCGACGGTTGCTCGACACAAAAGAACCCAATATGGCCGCGCAATTGACGACGTACACGAAAAATAGGCGCGAAAACATTGCCGCGCTCTTGTAACGACGCCCTCTGCGCTATACTTTTCTCTCTCTCTCTCTCTCTCTCTCTCTCTTGTTACAGACTGACACTACCGCCCGCGATTCGGCGCCATGAATATCTCTAGCATTATCTTTTTTTCTTTCTCGATGATTTCTCTCTTTGATTATTATCGAATTTCTAATACTCGATTAGTCCGACGGTCGTCCGATTCTATTTGAGTGAAACGACGGTAATAGTGAGTGTAAGAGACTCGACTCGTCCCGATTGCATATTACGAGAAGTAAGAAGATTATTTACTAATAATATCCTAACGATACATCTAGATGATCGCACGCGGTGTTTTCGACGCTCCGACACTGGTTTTCGTGCAAGACTCACTGTAGAAAGATAAGAGACACGTAAAACACGGAGCGACGTCGATCGGTGTGGTAATGCCGACTGCTCAAACGACGCAGAAAGATCGATATCTAATATGGCCGTGCGATCAACATTACATACAGCAAAAATGTGTACAGTATGTGAATGTCGCCCTCCCTATGTAGGCTTCTCTTTCTTATTAACTGACGCTATCGTCCGCTACTCGACGTCGCAAATATCCCTGGCATTGTCTCTTCCCCTTTCCCTCTGACTGTCGCTGAATCTCTAATGCCCGATTAATAAGCCCGACGGAAGCCCAATTCTATTACTATTTGAGTGAGTCGATAGTAACGACAAGTGTAAGAGACGTGACACGTCGCGACGAATCCCGGTGGCATGTATCGGGAGAATCGCGAGGGATTACTTCATAATAACATACTTACGATACGTCTCGATAATAGTACGTCGCTGTTTTCGACACTCGTGATACTTGTTTCCGTGCGAAACTCGATGTGGACAGACGAAAGATGCGTAAAACGCGGAACAATGTCGATCAATGTGCTAATGCCGGCAGCTCGATGCAAACAGATATAAGACACGGGTCCCCACACAAAAACGCGGAACGCTCGTCGCACGACGCCGCGGGAGCCAATTAGCGCGTCGTATTCCCGAGCGAGATCATTGGCTCCCGCGCACGCCTGACCACACGGCTTGATACTCACTAGAAATTTTTGACCTGCCGTATCTAGGAGTGCATTTTTTACGATCGTTGATTAATGCAGAAAGCGGGGAAGCTGAGATCTCGGGATGAGTTAATAATGTGAGAGAGCGCGTAGCTAGAGACAAATGTAGGTCGAAAATTGTTCGACCTACAAATCGATCTGTCGAGCGAATCGATCCGCGGAACTGAGAGGGCGTGATTGCGCGACTATCTTCGTTCTTTTTGCATCGAGCAACCACCACTGGCACATCGATCGACATCGCTCCGCATTTTACACGTCTTTTCGTCAATCAAAAGTGGGTCTCACGCAAAAGTAAGCATCGGGAGCATCGAAATAGCGATGTATGACTGTTGGGATGTATCGTAAGTACGTTATAAAGTAATGCTTCTCTAGATATATCCAACCAAGACTCGTCGCGACGTGTCGCGTCTCTTACACTTGGTGTTACCGTTGTCCCACTGAAGTGCTAATAGAATCAAGTGCTAATAGAATCGGCCGACGGTCGGATTTCTTAATCGAGCATAGAAATTCGCTGATAATTCGGGAGAAAAGAGGAAGGGCGACGCCAGAAACATTCGTCGTCGACGCGGCGTCGAGTCGCGGGCGGTAGCGTCGGTTAGCAAGAGAGAGAGAGAGAGAGAGAGAGAGAGAGAGAGAGAGAGAGAGAGAGAAAGAAAGAGAGAGAGAGAGATACAGAATGCGTCGTTGTAGAAAGGTGACACCGTGCAACGTCGTGGCGCGCATTTTCGGCGTACATCTTCAATTACGCGGCCATGCTGGATCTTTTGCATCGAGCAACCGTCGTTAACGCATCGATCGACATCGCTCCGCGTTCTGCGCGTGTTTTGTGTGTCGAAAGTGAGTCTCGCGTGGGAATAAGTATTCCGGTGTGTCGAAAAGAGCGATGTGCGATTGTCGGAACGTGCCGTCAGGACATTATCAATAAGTAAGCTTGCCATTTCTTGTAATATACAGCCGGCGCTTGTCGCGACGAGTCAGCGTCTCTTATACTTGCCATTATTGTCGTCTCATTCAAGTGGTAATAGAATCGGACAATCTATGAATTTATTAATCGAACATTAGAAATTCGATGATAATTAAAGAGAAAGAGGAAAAGACGATTCGCGGTGTCGAGTCGCGGGCGGTAGCGTCGGTTAACAAGAGAGAGAGAGAGAGAGAGAGAGAGAGAGAGAGAGAGAGAGAGAGAGAGACAGAGACAGAGACAGGGAGGTATACAGAGCGTGTCGTTGTAGAATTGACACCGTCAACGTCGTGGCGTGTATTTTCGGCGTACATCCTCAATTGCACGGCCATATTGGACTCTTTTGCAACCGTCGAGAACGCATCGATCGACATCGCTTCGCGTTTTGCGCGTGTTTTGTGTGTCGAAAGTGAGTCTCGTGGGGGAATAAGTATCGAGTGTGTCGAAATAGCGATGCGCAGCCGTCGGGAGACGTATCGTAAGTACGTTATTACGAAGTGATCTCCTCGCTTCTCTCTTGATATATTCAACCGGGACTTGTCGCGACGTGTCGAGTCAGCGTCTCTCATCTTTGTCAATACCATCGATTCACGCAAGTAGTGGTAGAACCGTACGGTCGCCGGATTTATTTTAATCGGTCATTAGGAATTCAGTGATAATTAAAAGGAAAACGAAAGTTGGTATGACGTTAGAGACATGTACGTGGTACACAGGCAGCATGTTTTCTAAGTTACGATAACTGAGTTACTTTATCGCGTTCTATAATTTGATTCCAGGGTTTTTTACTTCTGTATGTCTGGAGCTATTTCCAAATCGTCGGGTCGGTCGATTCGGCTGTAACTTTCGTCTGATATTCGTCGATACGAGATGTAACGTGATGGGGTCGGACGAATGAAATAATTTATTAGATGAAGGAGGATACAGGGAGATGGTGAGTTCGAAATTATATATTGACTGTTAGATGATTTGGCGTTGGTCTTACGCCAGTCAAATTGAAAATATGCAGAAGGATTCAACAAAAAAAGAAAAACAGAAAGAGAGAAAGGGAGAGAGTGGGATAGTTTGAAGTTTCTGGAAGAATGTGGTTGACGTGCCGAAGGCGCGGTCCAGGTTTTTAGTATATCCGGGAATAGTCGTCGCATCCTGGAGATTAGAGGCGTGCAAACGTGTTTACTCACTGGCCTCTTAGGTCAGGCGCGAGCATGTGTGTCATTACGATACATGTTATACGTACAAAGAGGCTGGCACATAATGTCAATATTAAACTAGGACCTGGATCTTCCCCGAGATACGGCTAATGTCTTTAATCTTTCGTCGAATCTCTCAGCGCGCACACAAACAGGATCGCGCGGGCGTAAATCTCGGGATCTCTCCCGTGCCACCGTAAATTAATTTTAATAGCCCGACAGCCGATAAATTTCTTTATTCCTATCCAAGTTGTTCATCCGTTATTCATCCGAGATGAGAAAGAGAGAAGGGGAGTGGAGAAAGGAAAAAGAGAGATGTCAAGGAACGAAACCTTGGATACTTTGGTCGATATTTCTACTCCTCTCCTTCCCGAAGTTCCTCTTACCAAAACAAAAACACGATTCGCTCGTTTCCACGTGAAATTCTGACGATGTAATTCGCGATATCTTGCGGACATCGTTATCATTGTCGTCTTCGTCGTCGTCGTGCAACCGAGATAATCGCGACGGGCATTTAATCCGGGCCAGACGTGGGACCGAACGCATGATCGGCCCTTAACTCACGCGGACAGACAGTTTCGCCGGGCTTATCGCGAAATCGCGGCACGTGCGGGCGCGATAATTTCGGCGGCACGCCGCCGCTTTAGCGAGCAGAAGCGAACAGCGATTTCGCCGCAGCTTTCGTCGTCTATCGACGGGGCGGGGCGGGACGAGACGGGAGGCGCGTTTGGTCGGAGCCGAGAAAGAGAGAGAAAGAGAAAGAGAGAGAGAAGAGAGAGAAGAGAGAGAGAGAGAGAGCGGTCGCGCTACGTGAACGGCGTGCGAAAGCGGGGCTTACCAGGTTTGCCGTATTTGCGCGCGACAAGATTATTGAATTTATGGGGAAAGACGCAGAAAAGAGAGAATTTCGGAAGGAGCGAGAGGGCGGCGGGGGAGTGTTTCACTCGTTCTCTCTCCGAATGGATAGCGTCGCGCGCACGCGGTACGAGCCGAGGCGAGACTCGCGCGCGCGTTATGCGCGCTCCGGCTGTGTGTATCCG